GCCTACATGCAGGAATGTATGAGCTAATGGGTTAAAATCATATAAATTAACTGCTAGAAATAAACTCGTCATCCACTCTTGACCTAGCGTCTTGCGGGCTAGAGTGAGACCCTCTCAACCCCACCTTTTAGTCTTGTCTTTCTTTCTCAGTCCTGCAGCACAGGTTTTCTGGACCTGATCGATTGTCGGCTGGCTCCGACAAAAATCTATTAAAATTAGAGCCAGAAAGGTGGCACAGGAAACTCAGAGGTCTAGTTCAAACTCCTCTTTTCACACTTGAAAACACTGAGGTGAAGGGAAGTGAAGTGACTTCCTCATATCAAATCACTAGCCAAAGGCAGTTATGCTAGGTGGAACTCAGACCTCCTGACTTTCACTTTAGTGTTCTTTCCTCTACCCAGATAACTCTGACTTTAAAGGCTGGTACACATGTGCTGTCTGTGTTGATCGTGATCATCACACTAGACAGTAAGCAAGAGAGGAATGGACATTGGAAGCAGCCTAGAAGAGAGATTCACCACAGATTAAAATTCAGTAGTCAGTGGTAATAATGGGTTGTATTAATAGAAGTAGAGCACCTGAAACAAAGAAGGTGACAGTTCTCATTTACCAAAAATGTTGGTTATACCAAACTGAGGGTATTACACCTGTTTTTAGGCACTACACATTTCAAAGAAGGTGTTGGGAGCTCAGAGTGAAATCTGTCTTCAAATATCTGAAGGGTTATTGTAGTGGGGGTTGGAGATTCGATTTCTACTTTGGTCCCTAGGAGTACAACCAGAAGCAGGGAAGCAGCTGAAAAACACTGATTTTGGAAATCAGACAGGCTTAAGTAAAGCCCATAGGGCCACTCATTAGCTATGACCTTGAGATGCTTCAGCCTTTTGAGCCCAAGTTCGTTCATTTATAAAATGCAGATTGTATCTCCCTCATAGAATCTGGTAAATATATCAACTAAGATAACTAATATATGGTTACCTTCCTAAACTAAAGGTTCAGATCTGTCAAGGAGCTTACATAAGCATCGTGTGTGCTTCCATCCCTTCCCCCGCCCCACCCCCAATTGCCCTGGTTTTCCTTCGCTTTTAAGGGATAACCTCACCCTTTTGTATGTCGTCCTTTCAAACGTTCTGGGAGTTTCCCTCCTTTAGGCCAACCAGAGCACAGAGGAGCGCTTCCTCCTGCTGGGTTTCTCGGACTGGCCCTCCCTGCAGCCTGTCCTCTTCGCCCTTGTCCTTTTCTGCTACCTCCTGACCCTGACTGGGAATTCGGCGCTTGCACTGCTGGCGGCGCGCGACCCGCGCCTGCACACGCCCAT